TAAAAATTTATTGAAATATTTTTCTTAAAAAATTCTAAAGCTTAAGCAAGTTTTAAAAAAAAATTAAAATGTGCTCTCTTCATTCATAACAAAGGCTGAAAAAACCCCAAAATTTTAACTACCAAAATTTTAAATTTGTAGGAAATATTTTGCCTCTATCAAACACACATATGCCAGACGAATTTATGGAGAACAGAACTTACAGAAATGCCGGCTTCTAGCCGTTAACGGCGCTGTTTAAAATGTCACCGTTGTCCCCCCACCAAAAAAACTAGCCGTTACTCTGCCTCCATTCCATCAAAAACCGTCTCTAGTCTCTTATCTCCCCAAACTCTATCCCGAATCCCTTAAACCAATCGGACTCCAATATTAAAACTTTCTACTTTCATAAACCAAATCAGATAGTATCTTCCCTTTGAGCAATTGTACCCATACAGGTTCTCTTTCTTCTGAAAAAGTTCAGATTCAGTAGAGGCAAGATGGTGTCAAGAACAGTTGCCAAAGACATCATCACTCTGCGAGGCTCAGCAGCCATCGTAAGCGAGTTTTTTGGTATGTTATCGCCTCTCGGAAGTTGGAATTCAATTTTTTGGGGTAATTCCTTCTTGGGTTTTTCTGGGTTCTTAGAAATTTCTCTAATTTTTATTTTATTTTTTTCTTTTTGAATACTTTTCAGGATATGCAGCAAATAGGTAAATGCCATGCTATCTTGATTTTTCTTTTCTTGTTCTATGCCTTGGACATTTTATGATCGTTTCTGGGTATTGAAAATAACGTCTAAATTTGGTAATTTTGATTAGCATTCTTTACAATCGAGGAGTTTATCCTGAAGAAAGTTTTGTGAAGGTGAAGAAATATGGGCTTCCTATGTTACTCACTCAAGATGATGGTGTCAAATCCTTCATTTCCAACTTAAATGCTCAACTTTCAGGTATATATGTCTCTGCAAGAAATCAATTCTCACAACCATGAAAACAACACCCCTCATTGGTTTAAATATGTATTTACACCAAATAAGCAAAATTTGAATGTTTTGGGATTAATTCTTGGTGGCTGAGTTTGTTTTATCTTGGAAAGAATGGCTGGAAGCTGGGAAATTACAGAGGGTTGTTCTGGTAATCATGAGTAAGGCTACCGGTGAGGTCTTAGAGAGGTGGAATTTCAGCATTGAGACAGACAACGAGGTTGTTGAAAAAGGGTAATGTGATGTGTCTTAACCATTTTCTACGCCCTTGACATCTGGATTTGACATTAGTCTGATAGATCTCGATCCTCCTTTGTTTGATTTACTTTCAGAGTGTCAAGGGAGAAGAGTGACAAAGAAATCATGCGAGAAATACAAGCAATCATGAGGCAGATTGCCTCAAGTATTACTTACTTGCCATGTCTTGATGAACCTTGTACGATATCCCATCTTCAGAGATTCATTCAAAGAGTTCTGCTTTAGTTTGGTTTTTGCCATTTGTTGATTGATGTAGCTTGCCTCCGTTGATTATTTTGGTTCTAGGTGTGTTTGATGTGTTGGCATACACGGATAAAGATGTTGCTGTGCCATTCACTTGGATTGAGAGTGACGCCAAACTGATTGCGAATCCGCAAATGGTGAAACTACACTCTTTTGATACCAAGGTAATGTTGGATGAACACGTCTTGTTACTCTGAAAGGGTGACAACATTTTGGTAGTTGACGACTAAGACAAGTCTATCTGTTGGGTTTATGCAGATACACAAAGTTGACACTCTTGTATCATACAAGAATGATGATGAATGGGAGGAGCAGTAAGAGACCCTTATAGAGTCTTGGTTCAAGCCAGAGTGTGATTTGTCACCCTTCATTGCTCCTGCAATTTCTTTTTCTTCTCTTATCCATTTGAGTGTAATCTGTGAATCCCATTCACATTTTGTGACTTGCAATGTTTGATAAGCAGCATCCTTTTTCATGGTTTATCAAATGTATAAATGATGACATTCTGCAGAGAAAAGAAACCCTCCAATTTGTCTGTCTTCAATATTTGAGTGCCATGTGTCTTTACAATTTTCAGAAAACAGATATCGAAAGGAACTTAGATTTAAGAACAAAACTACAGGAACCGGATACAATCAAATTAGTCTTCGCTCAAAATTATATATACAAACAGGGGACATCCAGATCGCTAAGAGCTGGAACCTAAAACCTACAAAACAATATCATACAACAGTAGGCCATGTACAGCAAAGTTTGTATAAAGTTCTGGTCTCCAAATTACAGGCACTTAAGTTATAGTTACAATCCCCAGAAAGCATAAGCACTTGTGCCATAATCAAGAAAGAAAATCAGAACGCAATATCGTTCCTTTCAGTTCACACCTCGATAAATTGCACCTGGTCGAAGATCATCCATGTAATCAATGTTTCTGTATCCATCTATCTCTCGGAGAGCTATATAGCCCCGACGGGCCAGAAATTCACGGTAGTCATCTTCTGTATAAAAACTCTTCTCCTCTGTATGCATTGGTATGTGATCCGTCTCATCATAGAGACACAGTTTAATAGCCAAACCTGTGCATAGAAGTTAAATGTCAACGCACACAGTTACAGTAATCTGCAACTTGAGAAAAGAATCACATTAGATTTCTTTCTTCTTGGTTGGTGAATAACATACAGATTTCATCTGCTGACTTGAGAATGAAGTGGCAGAAAGGTCATAATAGAAACCAGATACACAATATGAATAAACCTACCTTCATCAAGGTGGAGACTGTAACTTCCCAAAGGCATGTCTCTGTCAAGGCTGCGAACTACATGATCTTCATCCTCCAACCAAAATGCACGTCTTGTTCTCAACCCAAAAGCAGACCTAATTGCCTCCTTGATAGCATCTGCACTGCCATCTATGCCAATCCTCCTTGAATAGTCTCCAAACTTGACAGTTATAACCCTCCCACCATATGACTGACAGTCACCACCTGCCAAAGAGGCAAGTGTAGAAGGATGAGAAGCCAATATAGAATTTTCATCTCAGACAAGGATTTAAGGTGAACGGCTGGTTGAAGTCAATACTGAGAATCATAGGACATGTGGGAACCACTTATCAGCAATACTTGAAACAACATGATGCTTCTCACAAAACTTTCACCTTTCGGCAAAAACAAGTTCAGACTTTGAATCTGATTTACAAAACTTACCATTTCCAGGCGTCTCTCTCCAATTCCAAGGAGGAACCCCTGTGGCTGCAACTGCATCTGCTGTGGTGATGGCAAGAGAATGGCCATCATGATCTAAACGTCTTTCAAGATTGAGTGTTTGCCTACCACCAGCTGCACACCACAAATAACAAAACAGAAGATGCGTATTCTTTTTAATCATCAATTGGTAGAAAAGGCAACATGAAAATAAAAGCCTTGTGCAATTTCTAGGAGATGTGGTTGGGTGATCCTGCCAGTTTAGATATTCTTTATTCTATTTTTCCCTTTATAGTTTTTGTTACCACATACTTTATGCTATCTGTCTATCAGTCCTCTTCAGGGACATGCATGGCTGGTTTAAACTTTAACCTATGGTGAATGAGGCTAATATCCCATGAAGTCCAGCACTTTTCATGGGATAACTTTGGTGTACAAAGGTGTCATCGTAAAATAAAAATTCTATCCAACAAGTAAATCTACAGAAAGCACACAGTTGTAGTAATTAGTAATTACATGAATAATGTAACAGATATGAGCCTGGTGAGCATGAGACATTTTTTAGGAAAGATGGCTGGATATGATCAAATAAGCTATGAGCTTTCTTTAAAATTGCTAATGATACTGCAGTATGAAGTGCCAGAAGTGGCAGGCATCATTATATAGAAAGTTGACACCTCTGTGATGCTGTTTGTAAGCCATATAAGCACAACAGCATCATGTGGAGCAGGGTCGATAAATCAACAGGGATCATTAAATATTAATCCCATATGGGTTTTTTTTTTCAAGTAGAACCTGGCAAAGCAAATGGGAAATCAGCTACTTTTGCAATAATTGAACATTCTACACAAATTCAGTGTCGAGAATGAATCATGGGTGTGAGCAGGAGGCTTTTTGGACTAACTGCAAGATAGGATATCAGCCACCACTTTAGAAAGCATAGAAAAAGATGCAAACCATGCAATAGAGTGAGAATGGTAAAAAAGAAAAAGAGGAACAATTTGATACTCAGAAAGCTTCTTTATGACACAAGGCTGGCTATCTCATAGAGATTTCTAGGGCTTGTTGAAGGCTATTAGTAATGCTAAAAGAGAGGCTTATTGAACAGACTTGATGTAGTTGCTGAGTGTAAAGTTCACACAGCACGCAGATTGTTACACTAATGAAGACAAGCTCAAGGTATCTAAATACTTTATCATTGCTTGCAATAGCTTCAGTAGTGTTGCTGATCTGTGTATGACTATGACAAATATGTATTATGGACCAAAATGAAGACTTCTGGTTCAGGCAGTCAAATTCTACACTTCATATGCCAATAACGAAAAGGTAAGGTCTTGCAACTGATCAATAACATTGCAGCCAATGCCGTTCAAAAAAAAAAAAAAAGAGGGCAAAAATGAAGGAAACACTGCAGGCCTATCTATGGGTGACAGAGGAAAATAATATTGGAATATAGTGAACTCTAATTTCATCAACATACCTTCAACAGGACCAAATGATATACTGGCATCATCAAAGCCTGCATAAAAACAAGCAATTTTTGGAACAAAAATTAATGCTACAGTAATAGGACAAAAGGCATTTATGCAGGTTGCAACTGAATTTTCAAAAGCATATTGATAAAGGCCATGGGCTACTTTTGTCGGTTGAAGTGTTGTACAACACTGCAAGTCTATCCACATCAAATGAAACAAGGGAAAAGAAAGAACCAATGGATCATGCACCTAAAAAGGGATTTCAGAAAACTAACTGGCTTTGGTAACATAAATAATATAATCAAACACCATAATACTTAATACCACACTGAAATGCTTTCTGAAGGAGAGACAATTAACATGCTTAGAAGCTAGAAATGGTAAGCCTACCTTTTTCCATGGGGGTGGGGATAAAAAGGATAAAAAGTGTACTTGTGAGTTCCAATCCAAAGAGACAAATAATTAAAGTCATAATGCAGGTATTTTAAAAGGTAGTTCAGATATATTATGCTCAAAAAAGGATCAGATATAGCAGCCTTGGGTACACCATGAAATTACCATTTCAACCACTGAGGAATTAAGGGAAAAAATGCATGTCTGTATCTAAAGCATCAGAATAAGCCAATTAAACAACAACCATAACTGTACATTCCAAAATGTTGAACCCACTTGCCTAAAGAAAAGCACTTCCTGGAGCCATTTTTTTGACATGTGTAGCAAGAACAGATATTCTAAATCATTTTCTAAAGTTTAAAAGTTTAACATCAATCTTAATGGGACTAGGAAACTAACCAAGGGAACAACAAAGCCAAGCCTGGTAATTAGGACACTGGATCTAAGAGTTAAGCTAAGCAAAAGAAGAAGAGGCGGATTAAATCAAAAAGCTATTTTCCCTGTCAACTTGAATACAGAATCTCTTAAGTTTTGCTACCATAAAACTTTTCTGTTGCTTGCCTCTAACAAGGCAAGTAGGATTATTCAGACCTGTTCTGCCCAAACTCGTGATACAAGTTTTTATCTTTTCTTGTCCTCATTTAGAATCAACATTGCTCTGTTAGCAGATTTATCATGTAGCCATCGGCACACCATGATGCAAAAAGCTTTCAAGGTAGCAATTTTACAATGATTAGCTTTTTAGATTATTTACAAGCCTCTAATAAAAATGGAAGTCTAACCCATCTCATATCGTAGCAAAGAGACTTAACTATGAAACCAAAATGATGATTTTTCACCCAATTTATATGGGTCTCCCAAGAAAACTAGAAGCTTTAGAAATATCAATTCAGAAGGCAAAACTCTAAAACACAGAATTTGCAGAGAAAATACAAAATACACCTTAGGATTAGTAACCAACACTGGTGATTAGACAGCCAGCCCGTATTACCAGCTTCCAGAAGCAGAAATAGAAAGAAATTTTACTTAGACAAACAATTTCATTTCATCTTGAATAATCTATTCAAGGAGAAAACCATCATCTTCTTTCAGAATCCAGAGATCAACATCAATGTAAAGAAACAATTAAATCAGATGATTCAGATTCTAGTGTTAAAAACTATAAAAGATTTAAAACGAAAAAGACCCATCGGCAAAAAATTCCACCCCAAGCACATACCTTTATCAGAGAACTGCATATAGGAATCAACTTTGGGAGGAGGAGTAGGGCTCTTGTAGTGGGCATTCTTGGTTCTCTCCCTCAAAATCTCTTCAATCTCTTTATAATACGACATCTTCGCCGACCCACTTCCGCTGTCTTGATGCTTAGCCTTCTTAAACTCCTTCAACAAGTTCCTCCACTTGTCCGTGCACATAGTCGGGGACCGATCGAACCGCTTCTCCCTCATCTTCACCGATATCTGCTCCCACAAGTGCTTGTTCGACTTAGAGGTATTAAACATCCCATCCATTTCCCTCCTCAGCGCAATTAAATTCCTTGTCTCGTCTTGCACCCAGGTCTCCGCTCGCTTCTTGGGTGCCTTTATTTCATGGTCCTCGCCGCTGCTATCCCCCAGAATCATCTGCTGCTGGTGAGAGTGATGAGTGTGAGGCTGCAAATCCCCATTGGAACTCACCTCAATAATCATGTCCCCGGCGGTGGTTCCACTTCCTTCCTCCTTGTACAGGTCTATCGAACGGGGTTTTTCCGATAGGTACATAGCTGAACGACGATGAAGGAATCCCGAGGTGGGTATCTGGTTTTTGAATGATGGTCAAAAATGGGTGGATTCAGGAGTTGAAAAGAGTGATGATTTTCATGAAAATGAGGAGAAATGAAGTCATTTCGTTGGATAAATTAGGGGGACCAGAGGAAGGAGGGAGCGTCAAGTAAAAGGCTGAAGAAGAGTGTGTATGATTAGCGCAGAAAGGGGATGAGTTTAAGCGGATTTGTCTTTTTTGCGTTGCGTTTGGCTGACCTGATGACCTCCTCTCCTCCCCTCTTTTAGCCTTCCTATTGCCAATTTTCAGTTTGGATATATAATTTCTTTTTGATAAATATTTTATAAATTTAAATTGTATTAAATTATAAAATATAAATTTTTTATACAAAATAAATTTTATAATATTAAAATTTTGTTATTATTTACAAAATTTTATTTTATAATTTAATATAATTTAGATTATAAAACAATAAATTCAATTTTATTTTAAATTGTGTAGTCTTAAAATATGATAAATAATTTAAGAA